CAGTAATAGCTGTTGGTAAATATCCGAAGTAGACAGAGCTGCAATATTCTTAAGCAGGATTGGAACCTCGGCTATGACTATGCAAGATGGATTGAAATCGGACGGCTGGGTGTTTCCATCTAAAAAATAAAAGTAGGAAGGTGGATGGGCAGAGCTATTATTGGGGCAACGAGAGGCATTGACGTACGGAGATGATTTCACTGTTGTTGTGCAATTTACTAGATACATAAAACTATAAATAAAACCATAATTATACATAAAACTATAATTTAAAGAAACATCTACTATTAAATTCGATTCCTCAGAAAAATATGAATATCCAATTCTATTTAAGGAACCACGAGGAAGGGAGCAATGGTCTCTGCTCAGTCTCTCATGATCCACCATATCCATAACTCGTAATATTGTTTGCTCTCCACAAGAGATGTTTTGGACGTACAAGTTATCCTTACCAAACACAAAAGTGGTGCGATTGTTATTATTGCATTCCAGTTCTAGCCTAGGGTCGCCACACTCGGGAGGCTGGCTTTTTAATCGGAAAGGGAAGTTGACGGTAACGTTTCCACAGTGAGAAGAGCCACAGTCTTTAGGAATTCGACGTTTAGCGATGCAAGAATCAGGGAAAGATAGCAATAAAGCAAGGGCCATAAGCCAAAACAACGAAAGTTGTGCTTTTACCATCCTAAAGTTTTGGTGATGAAGAACCAGATTTAAGTCCAAGGAAATATATAAGCATAGAAACGGTTTTTTTTTCATACCGGGAAGAAACTCCTGCTTTTAAAATCACTTTGGTTAAAGCAAGGGAGACTTTAACGACTTAGACAACAAGAATTAAAGGTAAATGTGTATCCAAGTTGACTGACCTGTCAAGTGCTTTAAACCTTTTTAATTATTGTTCAATTAAAATCAACAATATACACGTAAAAAAAAAATTTATATTTGATATATTATTATTATATAAATTTAGAAAATTTAAAATCCTTAAAATTAAAAATGAAAAAATTCAATAATTACGATAAAAAAATATAATCGAATTGGATGATTTTTCAACTGAAATCTATGATACTTTAATACAGGATAGTTGCTCTTCAAGTTAATGAAATCTTCTGTTTTTTTCAAAAACGGTAAAAAATAATTATTTTTTAATTAAATAATTTTAATATTTATAAAGATTTTTAATTTTTTAAATTTGTGAATCAATGAAATGATCCTATATAATGCATTAATATAATAGATTTATGTATCATTCGATGATGCATAGTATATAAATCTTAAAAAAAGATATAATAATATAATAGTTTGTAGAAAGGGGCGTAAGAATTTAAGAAGTGTAATGAATATTGGTAGATGCAATTAAGGAATCGAGTTGCAAAAGACAAGGAAATTAAGCCCTGAAACATTTTGTGTGGTGTAACTGAAAGCACGTCATACTTCGAGAAATCAAAGTCAATTGTGGAGACCAATATAAGCAATTAGTCAAGGTCTCGGATAAGATTTCCATATCTCTTTCTCTTTTTTTTTTTTTTAGTTTTATTATTTTATTTTATTTTTTTGCGAAGATGAATAATTAGGAAGTAGTTAAGACCCCGTCAATGAAGGCATCCACACCCGTAGGCCAGCGTACGCGTATAAGACTTTTTTGTTTTTTCTGATGGTCTATGGTCAAAGTAGTGCGGTTATCTTCCTCGCATTCCAGTGGAAGCCCCAGGTAACCACACTCTGAAGGTTGAGTTGCTGATTGAAAAGGGAAACTAATGTTGACATTTCCCGATGGCGAAGAGCCAGTCTTTGTTTTGTTGAGCATAAAAAGTATTGGGTAGTAGTACAGTGATAAACGTACACTTGTGGGTAGATCTATTAATTGGTTTTATTGAGTTTATATTCTGTTAAATATGTGGAAAATAAAAAAATTATTATATCAATTTTATATTGGTATATTGAACATAAAAATATTTTTTTATTTTCATTAAATTTTTTGTTAAAATAAATATTTTTTATTTTTATTAAAATTTTAAATTATATATTTTTATATTACTTTTATGTCATAATTAATTATGATCGGATTTCATTTCTTCGACTGATCTATTATTGGTGGCAGTGAATGAAAGCAAGTCATACCTTGATACAACCAATTAAGTTGCTCTCAAGTGGAACACTTTAGCTACGAGTCAGTCAAGCACCGTATTAGATAAGACCTCTTTGCCATTTCAATTGACAATTCAGATAACAATTGCATGTTCAAAATCAAAGTCATTGCAAAATTTTGTTTTTTAAGAAAATAATTTTTGAAATATTTATTTAATAGAAAATTAATTGGTTAATAAAAAATAATTTATTAATTAATTTAAAATAAAATTATTTTTTAAAATTGTTTTTCTCGAAAGGGAAAGATAATTTTCTTAAAAAAATTATTTATAGGTAAGATTACTCATCAAATTTACGAGCACTACACTACTCATGTTAGGCCTTGGATAAAATTTTTTTAAGTTTAAATTTAATTTAATACAACTACAAATATTATTATAAATAATTTTAATATTTTAAAATAGTAATATAAACAATAAATGATTTAAAATATTAACATAAATAATAAATAGTTTTATTTTAAGTGTTTGTTTATATTAATATAATATTTAAGTATTAAATATTATTATTAAAATATAATTATTTTTTAATATTAATAATTTTAATAATAAATTATTTCCATATATTTTAACAATAAGTAATTTTTAATATTTTAATAGTTATATTAATATTATTTTTTAAAACTAAAATTTTCAAAAAATAGCTAAACATAAAAAAAAAAAAATTTATTAATTCATCCAAAGAACAAAAGAAAATTTTCCTAAAATATAAATATTTTTAAAAATTAATTTTCATGAAATAAACGGAATCTAAGCTCCAAGCTCTCCTTTCAATTCCCTTTTAAGTATCTAGTATTGTTACCAAAGCAAATCATCATAAACTTTTTAGTTTTTTTTTTTTTTTTTTATGGAAAACCACCATTTTTTGAAAAGGCCGAAACTATCATGCACATCATCTAACGTGATGGAGCCAGCTATGACTGTGATTTAGACGAAAGTATTTTTGTCTTATAAATTTATATAAAAATTATGTATAATAATTTATATTAACATGCAAAATATAAAATATTTTTATTTTTATTAAATTTATATATTTTTTATTAAAATTTTAAACTATATCATATTAATAAATTTTATATAATTTTTTTTATCATATCATCTTATTTTATTTTAAATTATTAAATTTATTACGACCCAAGCTGGATTAAAAATTCATAACGTATTACCATACTCACCTAATTTAAGCTCAATAGACATCGAATACATATTTGACGTGGATCGCCTAATATATATATTTTTTACATGTAATCTCTTTTATTTCATAAACCTTTCATTATTTTTATGATAAAACTTGAATCTAAAAATTTCAAATCCAATTTTTAAAACCAGCACTATTTTTTTTTCAATAAATTGCCCCAACAATTCCTAATTTAATAATAACCATGTTAATTAATATTCTTAGTAAGTAAAAAAATTATTCAAACAAGCCAAACATTTCCAATTTTCAATACGTCATTTATTACCCTTTTGGTTCTCATGCATAGCTTGTTTTAATTTTTTTTTTATTTTTTTCATCTCATTTTTTTTTTACATTTTTTTTAATTCAAAATATTGTCTTTTTTTTAACAAATAAATTTTTTAATTTTTTATATTTTAAAATTATTTTTTATATTTTTTATTTTTGCACATTAAAAATCATGAAAATTTAATTTTATAAAAAAAAATTTAAAATCTAATATTAAATGCATTAAAATCAAAGTTTTCTTTTTTAATTTTGTAAAAATCAATTACAAGTAAATAATTTAAAATATGTCAAAAATATGATAAATAGATTTACAAACATAGATTCTATCCGAATTTTAAATTATATTGAACGTTTAATAAAAAAATCAATTAGTATTATATTAAGAGATTAATTTAAATATAAAATTACAAAAAAAAATCAACCAATATAAAATAACATCACCGAAACATTTTGTGATAGTAAATGAAAGCAAGATCAATTGAAAGCAAGATCAATTGAAGTCAATTATTTCAAGCTATTGGCTAAGATTTTCACAACTATTTTTTTTCTTTTTTTATGAATAATAATTAGGAGACAGGACCCCGTCAAGCAAGGCACAATCCTCCTAGTGCGCACGTTGCGCTAGACGCGACTCAATGTCGTACTCATATACGATTTTTTTACCCGTTACGTACTTGATTTAAAAATCTTAACCAAGTTCTTTAAATTTGTTTTTGAATTAAAAAGTAGTCCAACCTTTTTTAAATACTGAATTTAACCATCAATTGCATTAATTATCATTGCTAATACAATTTGCGGGCGTGCAATCCTGGTCTGTTCTCCCTTTCTCCCATTAAAAAACACTAATCATTCCCTTTCTCCAGATTTGCAGCTGAAAATTCAGTGGTCAATTTACTAGAGATGAAGACTGATGATCGACTTCCCGCAAAAAAGGAAAGGAAAAAGAAAATAGAATGACAATTGAACAACTTCTAGAGCTCGATCCAGCAGTAGCTCTGGTATGTTCTAACTTACCAAATTTTATTTCATCATGCATCTTGATTATTAAAAACACATGATTCTTAGAAATTTCATATCACTCTCTAATAAAGACAGTACAAGACGCACATGTGAAGCCAAGATACTCGATATAGATGTTTTGAATGGTTAGTTCTATGACTTCTGCAAACAGTGCAACAGAACGCTCATATCATGTTATAGCAAATTCTGTTGTTAAGACCACCATGAAAAAGTACCCTTACTTGGGTATATCCCTCACCATATATTGTTTCCCACAAGTATATTACATAAAAAATTAAACTGTAAATTGCTATATAAATGGCTTCAGTAGCAAGCTAGGCATAAAATTATAAAACTTTATAGATGACAAAATGAAATGCATGATCACTAGTTTACGCTATATTTAAGCTAATTTCATTCGTAGCATCAAGTGATGTAGTTGGCTCATCAATTGGCTTGTCGCCACCATGATCCTTAGTTGATGCATCAAAAGGAAACTGAAAAGGTCTTGGAGGCATTTCGAGCAATTCAGTATCAGTTTCGAGCATCTCCAATACTTTTGACATTGAAGGACGATTAGAAGGCCTCATTTGTATACACCAAAAAGCTACTACTAACATCTTCCTCATAATTGTCTTCTCACTATCCGTAACATCTCCCAATTCTATTTCCTCTCCTTGCTCAAATCGATCATATACCCATGATGGGAAGTATATCTGACTTGATTGTTCCGCAAATGCATTCAAATTTTTCCTTCTTCCCACAATTTCCATTAATAGCATCCCAAAACTATAAACATCAGCCTTATATGAGATGCCTCCAATGTTTTTGTAGACCAATTCAGGAGCAATATATCCCAGTGTACCTCGTGCTGCAGTAAGAGAGACAATACTATCATCTACTGAATACAATTTTGCCAGACCAAAATCAGAAACTTTTGGGTTGAAATTCTCATCTAGAAGAATATTATGAGGCTTGATATCAAAATGTAAAATTTGCATGTCACATCCTCGATGTAAATAGTCAATTCCTCGAGCAACTCCAATCACAATGTCAAGCATTTTCTGCCAGCTTAAACTGTTCATATTTTCTCCAGAAAATATCATTTTATCTAAAGAACCATTTGGCATGAAGTCATATACAAGAGCTTGCTTTGAACCCTCTACACAAAACCCAATAAGTTTCGCAACATTGACGTGATGGATCCTTCCTATTGTTGCAACTTCATTAATGAAATCTTGCCCATTAGCTTTTGATTTGCCCAACAACTTTACTGCCACAAGATGGTTGCTACGAAGTTTTCCTTTAAACACTGAACCAAAACCCCCTTCTCCTAATTTATCTTTGAAGCCACTAGTTATTCTTTTTATTTCATAGTAAGAATATCTGATAGGTATAAAGTTATTTTGACTTTGAAGAAACTCTTCAATTGTATCATCTGCAGATAAGTGCCTTCTTCGTAATTTGTATGTAACAACCGCAATCAAGATAGATATCCCCAGCAACATTCTTGCTAAGGCAATTCCTCCTTCTCAAGAAAAATATAAACACATTAGTATTTTTCAATGAAAGGCATTAGTGTCCAAAAAAATACAAACATAGGAACCTTAATTTTAACAGCAACCATGAAGAACAGACACAAAGTTGTAATTCATACTGAATAAACTTAAACAAGGAGGGAAAATGAACAAATCAGAAAACATTGAAAAAAGCATCCAAAAACGTAACCTTCAAACTACACAATTGAAACTAATTCACCATAACAGAAACACAAAAAGATGCAAATGAACCCAAAAAAGAATTGATAAAGTCAAGAGCTGACATCCACTGAAAGTTGTAGCAAGATGAAAATTCACTAAACTTGGCCTGAAAATGTTCAAAACAAGACCAACATGAACATAAACTTAAGCAAAGCTCCAACATCCTTCTTAACTTGACAGAAAGTTCTCCATATTCGCTTAGAATGAAGAAACTAGCTACGTAGTTGGACTTTCCAATTCTCATATTCTAGCTCCATGAGTTTATTAATAATTGGTTCATCTTCTCCATCAAAGGACAAACCAAGCAATTGCCCGACTTTCCAAGACTTGACTGCTTCTCCTCTAAAGATTTCATTCCTAAACTGTATATTTTCATAGAAAATCTGATTATTGGCTTTTATAATTTTGGAGGTGCAAGTCACTGCAAGAAGAGCCAACTAAGAGTAGAAGCATCATCTAAAATCCACTATCACCTAAATTTACCTCTGAACACTCACTCTCATCTAACTTAATATAGTCAACATCGATACTGAACTCATGAGAGACTTCCCTATAGTTTCAACCCCCCATCCACACTAAGAATCATATTAATTTCGTTAGTGTTTCGGGAACGAACAACTAAAACTGGGGTTTCCCTAGTCACTTCAAGCATCAGAGTGAGAATCGTCTCTATAGCAGGCTTTATGATCATCAGTACTTATAGTCGACTCAACAATTCTACTATTCTAGAGAATGCTATTCTCTAATGTGATCAAATCTCTAACAGGCTTATACACAACACTAGAACTTGATTCAGTACTTATAGTACCGACTAAATCAGTACTTATAATCTGCTAACATTCTCCAAACTAGAACTTCATTCAGAAAAAAAAAAAAAAAAACACAACACTTTTCTGTCCAAACTTTATTTTTCTTTTCTGTTTTTTGTACAAAAGAGGTCTAAATTTTAAAATATAAGAGGAGTTACAAATAATAAGATTTGAATTCTAAATCTATTAGATATCACTTTTTAAAGTTGACTCTACAACTAAAGTGAGTTAAGTTCAAGTTGATTTTTTTTTTTTTTACCACTTTTAGGGAAAAAATTTTTTTGGCCCCAGTACAATCTTTCACATCCAAATTATCTAAAGAGCTTTATAGGTTTTTGAGTTTTACATTAGAAAAATATTAGTCGGAGTAATATATAGTAACTTTATAAGCGACCTTTAAATATTTCAGAAGTTTGAAAATCTTTTTATATTGCTGAATTTCCAAATATGTAATCATGGAGCTAAAATTTACCTGTTATTCCAAGACACATAATATATGTTCCTGCACAAAAATACCAAGAAAAAAACTAAATATAGTTATTTATACATAAGGAAAAGAAGAGGCAATAATTAAATTTAATAACGAGATTTGCAAAAAAAAAAGAAAGAAGGAAAAAGCATACTGTCAGTCTCAGGTGGAAAACCATTGAAAGCTGATACCAGGGGGCGATGGATAATGTAATATGCAAAACTGTTAAAGTAGTCTATCAACGCATCCCGAATCTTGGCTAATCTGGAATGTTCAACATATCCAATAAAAAATGTTAGTGCACAGTCAAATTATATATAGATATACTGTTTTTGTAAAAAATTTTTATACAAATAAATAAATTGGTAACTTGAGATAAAAAAAAAGAATTAAAAATATTGAAATTTGAAGTCAAATTTATTGAATGTTACTTATTAAAAGTGATTATATAAATCAATTAAGTTAATTTCTAATTTTTTAATAAAGAAATTTTGATTTTAGTACGTTTAATATTAATGTTTTAAGATTCTTTTATTAAACTGAACCTATATGCTTCTTAATGCAAAAAATAAAATAAGTAAATTAAAAAATTAAAAAGATATGATTTTGGAGAATCTAAAAAAAAATTAAAAAAGCAAGATGGAGGAATATTATCTGTTGAAAGGATTAAAAATATGTTAAAAGATTAAGCGCAAGGTATTACATATAACATCATGACCATATATATGTGGGGAAAGATTTCAAAGGTTGAATTCGAAAACAGTAATTGGAATCACAATTTCTTAACTACAATGTTAAATGACTTTAAATATATTCAATTTAAATTAATTGAGTAAAAGTGAGCTTTTTACCACAATTTTTTATGAGACAAGTTAATGACCCAACCAAACACAATAATCTAATTAAGAAAATAAAACTAACAAAGCTCGAAATTTCTTACATTTGGTTAATTGAAAGTTTGTTTGAGCAGATCTCGTTGTAATCTCGTCCCAATGGATTAGACCACCAAAACAATTCAAACCCCATTAATAGCCTTTCGTAGATACCGAAAGTAGACAGGCCTGTGATATTCTGGAGCATGATTGGAACCTCGGCTATGACTGTGCAAGATTGATTGAAATCTAGCGAGCTGGTTTCTCGATCTAAAAAATAAAAGTAGGAAGGTGGATGCAGGGAATAGCTATTGGTGCAACGAGAGGCATCCACATAGAGAGAAGATTTCACTGGTGTTGTGCAATTTACAAGATACATAACGCTATAATGATCCCTATATTCGTCAAAATACCATTCAGGAAGGTATGGCTTATCACAAATTGAAGAATCATGATAGAACCGACTGAGTGGAAGGGAGCAATCATCCCTACCCAGACTTGCATCGACGACTCGTAGTGTAGAATTCTCGTAAAAGATCTCTTTCACATAGAATTTTTCATATCCCCTAACCAAAGTCGTGAGGTTATTATCATTCTCGCATTCCAGTTCAAGCCAATGACGACCACACTTCCAAGGCTGGCTTTTTAATCGAAAAGGGTAACTGATGTTAAGGTTTCCACAGAAAGTAGAGCCGCAGTCCTGGTTTCCGACTCGAGCGATGCAAGACTCAGGGTAAAGAAATAAAGCAAGGACGACCATGCGGCCAAACACTGAAAGTTTTGGTTTTACCATGGTAGAAAGTAAGAAATGGAAGGCTAACAAGTCTTTGAAAATATCTAAAGATAAAGCGTTGAACTTTTTTATATATATTTGGTACGCCAATTTTCAAACAAACATTTACTGTGGCAATAAAAGAACGCGCAAAGGCATTCTTTGAAAAGCTCTCGACGAATTAGTCAAAGCTCTCCAATAACCTGACACCGTGTGTACCCTCTCTCACAATCGTCACACAGGAATCCAAAGAACAATAACAAGTAAAAAGACTAAACAGCCCTGGTTGGTTACAAGGACTGGACCTCATATTTGGACCTTAACAGATTCGGCCTGCAGTGTAAAACGAGGCCTATTGCTACCAATTAACGGAGATCAAATCAGAAAAATGAAGAAGGCTATTTATTATATATATATGAAACAGGAAGATTTTACTGATGTATATATATTGTATTAATGTATTTGCATTTCTACAATTTCTTTTAGATCAACAAAAGAATCAAATTTTATGTAAAATGATAATAAAGTACAAAAAATGGGTCAGAAAAGAACCGTAGAAAAGATAATTAAATCAACTAACGGTAAACGGACCTTAAAATCAAGTGTAATATTTTTTTATAATAATAATTGTTAAGAAACCCTTCCATATTTAAGTAGGGTTTAAAAAATTATTTTTACTTAAAAATATTACTTTTAATTTCTAAAAATTCTTTCAAAATTTTATTTTATCATTTTCACATTTATTACCAACTATAATGCATATAATAACATATATGAAATAAATGATATATATAAAAATAAAACAATGCAAATACTTACTTTTATTTTGTTTTTCCAAATAATTCATTTTTATATTTCTTATCATTATTTTTGATGGAATATTTAGAAATAAAAATCTTTATTGATGAAAATTTTTTTAATTCCCTAATATTTAAGTAAAATTTTAAAAAACTAATCATCCATTTAAAAAATTCATAACTATTTTTTGTAAAAACGGAAATGAAGTCCCTTAATAAAATGATATTTTAATTCCTTTCAATATCTACCCAAAGCCTCCAAAATCTTTTTTTGAAATATTATTCTATTTTTTTCTAAAAGAATTTTTTTTAAAATTGTTACTTTATTATTTCACATTTATTATTAATGTGTAAAATGCATATGTGACAATATAAATAAATAAATAATGCAAAAAAATTAAATGGTAAATGTAATTAGTCTTCCCTTTTTTTTACATCTTCCATTTTTCATTAAATTTCTTTTCAAAAAAAGTTAGTTTTCATTTAGGATGAAAATCTCAGTTTTTTATATTAGAAATATACTTTTTAAATTCTCCGAGGTAAAATTTAAAAAATATTTTTCTATTTAAAAGAAAATCCCATGTTCATTTCCCAAAACAAAAATATTGTTCTTTGGTAAAATATTTTATTTTATTTTACTTTCCTTAAAATCACTTTTTCAATTATTTTCTTTAAATAATCAATTTCTTATTTTCAGACTCATTCATTATTATTTTTTTTATATAAAAACATTTATTTTGTTTATTATTATTTATTAATTATTTATAACACAAAAAATCTCAACTATTTACATCAAATTTATTTTCAAAAATATTTAGTAGTAAAAAATATTAAAGCAACTTATGCATATAATAACGTCAAAATAAGATATAGGAAATTATACCCAGCCAAGACGGGGCTCTAGTGGAATGGGCTTGAATTGGGTCCACAAAGTGTTACCCGCTTAGTTTCTTACGTCTCTTTTTTCTTACACTGTGTTTAGATTGAGATGAGGGAAAGAAAAGTAAAAGAAAATAAAAGAAAGTAATGGAAACATAAATTTTTTTTATTTGGATAAATTTTTAATTTAAAAAAAATGTGAAAATTCTTGATTGTATTCTTCACTTTTTTAATACCTTAATTTGGAAAAAATACTAAAAATTGAAAAATTAAAAAAATTTTATTTTTATAAAAATACTATTATATTTTTAGTTTTATTAAAACATTATATTTGATTATATAATTGATATTTTTTATAAAAATAATTTTTTCTTTTGAGTATTTTATATAACATCATAGTTTATTAATATTTTATAATTTTTCAAGTCTTAATAATAAAATAAGCCAAATTATTATCAAAATAAATTTAAAAATTAAATTAAACAAAAAATTAAGAGTAAATCAATAACTAATTAATACATTTTATCATATTAAAATGCTCAATTTTATTTAAAAAATTTTTTTATACAAATTAGATAGTATAAAGATATATTTATATATTATATGTTACTTTATAAAAAAATTATAATTAAAAAAATATATTATAATGAATTATTTCCTTTCTTTTTCATTATTTACTAAACAATAATTGTTAAATTTTTTTTCTTTTATTAATTTTATCTACACAAAAAATACACGTATCTTTTATTTTCCTTTAAAAATTTTCCTCTCTTTTCTTTTTTTCCTTTACTTTCCTTTATTTATATGTATCCAAATATATTAACGAGCAACTCCCAAATTTTACATTTTTTAGCCTTTCCCTTTGACTTTTGTAACACTTTTCCTTTCACCTTTTATTTCCTCCTTTGCTAAACCAATCGTGCCTTTCTTTTCCTGAAATTGCCTTTTATTTATTTGCTTGACTTAACTTTTTTACCCCCTCGGGTGCTGTGATTTTTTTTTTTGGTTTTTTTTTTTTTGAAAAAAAAAAGGAAAAAGGGATTTTTAGGTTTGTGAATGATGGTTTCTGTGGTGGGTTTCAATGGGTTTTCATAATGGGCTATGTTTAGGCTGCATGGAGGTGTGGGTTTTGAATTTCAAGTCTGGACAGGTATAAGGTGGCAGCTTTGTTTTTAGATGATGATGGTAGTGATTGAAGTTGATTCAAAAGAGTGTTCTCGGGTTAATTTGTGGCTGATTGATGGTGGTTTGGGCTGGTAATTTGGTGGCAACAGGAGCTATGGATGACGATTCCAATAGAGGCAGAGGATTGTTGTGGCAGTGATGGAGGTAAATGGGTACTAGTAATGGGGGTAGTTGCTAGCTTAATAATAGTAGGGAGAAGCAAAGTGTTTCTTGGGTTGGTGATGGTTTGGAAAATGATGTTTCGGTGTTGAGCATGGTGACGATGGTCATTGGGAAGAGCAATTTTAGGTTTGGTTGCGAATGGGCAAAAGGTGGTTTATGTCGTGATTCACAGTGGTCTAGAGTCTGTGGAGGAAGAATAGGAGCTTAGGATTTTTGTTGGTTTTCTTTTTCGGTGCCTCCTCCCCTTCCCTTTGTGAAATTTTTGGTCTTTGTAGAAACCGAAATGAAACCTAAGACTTGGTCCATGACTCATTTTTTGAAGTCTTACTGCCTAGGGCAGAGGAGCTTGCTATCTTTGGTATACTGGGAAAGTGAGGGAGGCATGGGGAAAGAGCTATGAACTTTTCAGGAAGTCTCCGGTGATTTGGTGCTAAGATGGTGGGTAGAACGTGGGGGAGAAAACCAAGAGCTAGAAATGAGAATTTTTGGGAAAAAGACAGAGTCAGGAGAGATCCAAATTTATCTTTTTGCAATTTTACAATTTTTTCTTTTTCTTTTTTGTTATAATTTTTAATTAATTTAAATTCTAATAAATTGAGCTTTAAAAATGGATTTGGGTTAACGATAGGATTTTGAAACTTTTAATTAGGCTTTTTATTGAGTTTTATAATACAAGTGATTAAATTTTGAATACCAAAAAAAATTGGATTGAATTTTTTATTCATGCAAAACAATCCAAAAATGATTAATTCAAATGAGTTCAATTAAAACGTATAAGTTAACTTAAATTGAAACGTTTAAATAAAATATACAATATAATTAATAGAGATATAATATAACTAATAGAGACAAATGAGAAAAATGAATAAAGCAATTAGATATTAAACATGAAGAGTTTAATCATCTATCTATATATATATATATATCAATGTATTTGTTTATCTATATCTTTTTTTAGCAAAACAATAAAATCAAATTTTATTTCAAATGATAATGAAGTACAAAAAATGGGTTAAAAAAGGAACATAGAAATGATAATTAAACCAACTGGCAGCATGGTGAAATAAGTCATATAAAGGTTAAACTACTTAACATTATCTGAATATTATCTTAACATTATATTTAAGCTAATTTCATTTGTAGATACAAGTAATGTATATGTCTCGTCAGTTGTATTGTCATGGGATCGATCATCAGTTGATATTTTGAAAGGAAGTTAAAAAGGTTTTGGTGACATTTCAAGGAGCTCGACATCAATTTCAAACATCTCCAAGACTTTGCTCGTTGAAGGATGGTCATTAGGCTTCACTTGTCATCTTCCTCACAATCATCTTTTCACCATTTGCAAGTCTTCCAACTCAATGTCATTTCCTTGATACAGTCAAAATCTATACTGAAGTACATTTGGCTTGAGTGTTCAGCAAATGCATTCAAATTCCTTCCTCTTCCCACCATCGCCCTTAATAACACTCCAAAATTATAAATATCTACTATGTATGATAGACCTCCAAGGTTTTTGCAAATCAATTCAAAAGCGATGCATCCTATTGTGCCTTGTGCTGCAGTAAGAGAATCAGTGCTATCACTTGTGGAATGTAGTTTAACAAGATCGAAATTTGAAACGTTTGAAATAAAATTTTCATCTAGAAGAAAATTGTGTGGTTGATTTGAAAATGTAAAATTTGTATACCATATCCCTGATGTAAATATTCAATACCTTGAGCCACCCGAAACAAAATATCAAGCATCTTTTGCCAACTTAAGGTGATCTTATTTTCTTTTGCAAATATAATCTGAACTAGAGTTTCATTGGGTATAAAGTCATATACAAGAGCATGTTTTGATCCTTTAACGCAAAATCCAATAAGTTTTATCACACTGACATGATGAATCCTCCAAATTGTAGCTATTTCGTTAATGAAATCTTCTCCATCAGCTATTGACTTACCCAATAACTTTATTGCTGCAAGATAACCATTATCATCTTTAAGCTTTCTT